TACATCATTTAGCGTCCTCCATAGTTTTTCTTTCCTTAACGCTGAGAGATTTTCGAATATTTCTCTAATTCAAACGCTTGATATTATCTATTTCTTCCAGCGTTACTTTTCCTGTGTGTATAAATTTAGTTTTATAATATTTCTACATCGATAACGTTCCTCAAGGAACGAAACGCGTCAGAATAAAAGATTTTGGTGTTGTCATTTTTTTTTAACTTTGTGGGAAGATTATATTCAGAGACAGTCAGAGACAATGTTGATCCATATATTTACACTGCCTATCTGTAAACATTGTCTCTGATATTGGTCATCCTTCCTCCTATGAAGATAGCAATTCTATATATATATATATATATATATATATATATATATATGTGTGTGTGTGTGTGTGTGTGTGTGTGTGTGTGTGTGTGAGAGAGAGAGAGCATGTGCACACAGACAAAAAAAAATGTCTTTTTGCAAATCTATGACATTAATTCGCGTTTAACACAAAGAAGGTTTTTGCATATCTCTTCTGATAAGAGTGAGATTGTCGTGGGAAGAGACTTTCCCAGCCGTTTTGCTAATAGAATTGGATATTCTGATTTGCGCAGTAGGGTGGGGGTATTGGAAATAAACATTATTGCGCATCATTATTCTTTTAACCCCCCCACACACACACGTAAATTCAACCTGTTATTTTTTTCTTTACAATATTCAAGAGGCGCCAAGCGTCGAAGTCATTAAAGTGCTGTTAAAAGAAAAAAAAAAGTCGATGTCTTTATATAAAAATTTAATCGCCCTTACATAAACATAACAGAAAAATAACATTTACACATACGCGCTGGGCGTCTGTTGTTGAGTTGGCCTAGCAGAATAGTTTGGGCCTAAGTTACTAACCGGGCACTGAGCACCAGCCTTGGGGGTGCTTAAAAAATTATTATTACTATTATTATTATAATTATTATTATTATTAATAGTAGTAGTAATGTGTCTACCCTGGCGCTAGTATCGCAAGTTCGATCCTCACTGAAAGCAGATTTTTTTCTGACTAAAACTAAATTTCAGAAATCAATGCGTACCTATTTAATCAAATAAGCGTATATAGAACATTGAAAAAAAAAACTTACCTTTTCCAAAGACTTATTTTTAAATGCCACACCCTTTAAGGACGTGGGTGATCATCTCTCCCCTCAGTATCCCCCTAAATTACGCATACCTTTCAGAAGACTTTAGAGGGGAGTGAACATAGTGCCTTAACTGGAATTTGAACTTGGTTCATACACATCTTTACCAGCCCACCATACTCAAAAGGTTAAATGCATTTTATCCCCCACTGACCGAATATGAAATAACAGGGCATGCAGAATTTTCCCGCCATATCCGTTAGTTAATCCCAAATTGTATATGTGTGTATGTGTGTGTGCGCGCGCGCGTGTGTAAGCAAAGTGTACATTTTAGAGAAAAGAGAGAAACCACAAATGTTTTTGGTCGTAATGTGGATTACATTTTATTTTCCATATTTTTGCTACACGGGTTTTCAGTCTCGCGATCTTCTTCTGGCAAAGAGTGAATATTTCTACATATTATTAAAATGAATTAATTTTCCTTATGGTTTTCGATGTTAAACATTCTCTTTTTGGTGGTAGTAGTGGCACAAATGTCTTTCTTGGTTTTCTTTACGGTTTCTCTTCTTTAATATATATATATATATATATATATATATATATATATATATATATATATATGTGCATGCATGTTTCATTAAAACGACAGGGTACTACGGTTTAGTCTTTTTTTTTTTTTTTTGTGTTCGAACAAGAGCTTTCTTTTCTGGACAAATTCTTAACAATATTAACTACGAACAAGAACGCAATGTTCTAACCGTATTCGGAAATTAAAACATCCCTACAAGACATTAAAACATACACATAATGCACACACTCAATTAAGCTGAAAAATCGAATCATCCTTGATAATGGCTAAAGGTATAGCCGAAAGCGCTCGGAAATATAAAACATTTGGACAGTTTTTACACACTCTTTGTCCAGAAAAGAAAGCTCTTGTTCGAACACAAGAAAAATTAAATAAAAAAACTTAACCGTAGTACCTTGTCTGTCGTTTTTTAATGAAACATGCATAAAGGAAGGATTGCTACCTAAATACACAACCATCAATATATATATATGTTATATATGTGTGTGAAAATTATTTTCAGATAACGTTTAACGCTACAGGAACAACACGAATAAAAGAGACAAGTTTTTCCTCTTGTCTCTTTTCATTTATATATATGTGTGTGTGTGTGTGGAGGGGCATGACAAAGATACTCTTTGCATATTTTGATGCTTTTTTATTTAGTTGAAATGTGAGATCACAATAAGTTTTCATGGAAATCACAAAACGTTTCGACTGCTTCTGCAGCCTTCGCTCTTGTTTGATATTGAACATATATCTCAAAAGAATTCAGGAAAAGGCTTAATTTGATTAGTTGAAACTCAGATAATTAGCTTCTACAATAGATAAGAAAATTTTATTATTAATGTATTTGGGTTGTTTTCCCATTTATTACACTTCCACTCTAAATTTCTTTCATAAAAATCAAATACTAGAATCATAAAACCCGGTTTATTTAAAAGAATAAAAAATACCAGCCCAATACGAGTTGAAGTCCGCCGTTATCTGAAATTAAAACTTAGCCGTAATTAGTCGTTTTCGGGCGCATTTCTTTCTTGCGTTTCAAACGAAAATCTTGCTTTATATCGCAAATCAAGATAAGATTACATAAGATGATTTTTGTCCGAAGATAAGTTACAGGAAGTCTGAGGTTGAATCAGTTTCTTTTCAATAGATTGATCAATAATTTCCACCCCAGCAACCAATAATAATAATAATAATATTTTCGACATGAGTCACTATAGGATGAAAATAGAATGATCAATTTGATGAATAAGTTTTCTTTTTCTTTTTTCTTTAAAGTGCGCGCATAGAGAAATCAATATTGAAAAAAAAATGTCTTGTGAGTGATCGATTGTAATTTGTTATAAGAAAAAAAAATGGTAAGAAGATTTCTTCAAAAACAATTCAGAACGGAATCGTGATGCCAAATTTTATTTAATTTTTACTCATCACAATATAGCTTTTTATTCTGAAACGTATAAATCTCACAAAATAATAGAACATTTGTGGTCCCGCCGTAGAGCAATGGCTCTCTTCTAGGCCATCAGGACAGAGTTTGATTAATCAGTGTGTTTTGCTTGAAACCTTGTACCAGAACTAAGATTAGTATGACTTATGTATTGGTATAATGGAAAGGAAGCCTAGCACTAAAAGTTCAATAACTATAAAATGTCATTTCACCAAACAACTACTTAAAAAGTAAAATTCTTAAAGTAAATGTTTTTGTTTTTACCTACAATCTGTGATCTCATTTATGCAGACCTACAATTTTCCCTAAAATAAATATTTAAAAAAATTAACTGGAAAAACAACAACAACAATAACAATAATAATAATAATAATAATGATAATAATAATAATAATAATAATAATAATGAAAAGAAAAAAGGAAAAAATAGGAAAGAATATAAGAAAAAGAAAAAGAGAAAGAAGAGGTAAAAGAAAAAAAGAAGGAAAAAGAAAAGTAAAAAGGGAAAGAAAAGAAGGGAAGAAAAAAAAGAAGAAAAAAGAAAAAGAAAAAAAATCACCAAGAGTCTTTTTTCTTGATACTTTGACGACAACGATCTTATCTTCTTTTTTTTTTTTTTTTTAAACTCTTTCGTCTTTTCTTTTCTAAGAAGTGCTTCTTGGTCGGGCCGAAAACTTTTCAGCATCCTCTCGTAAAAATAAAAAATAAAATGACCCCCGAAAAAAAAAGATAAAAATAAAAGAATTATCGTTGCAGGATTCTTTTATTACTTGAATTTCTCCCCACCTCACACCCCACACCTTTTTCTTCTATTTTGATTTTATTTGGAGTGTTATCGATGGAAGGTTCTGGGCAGAGCGTAAAAACAATGACACCGTCATGCAAGAATGTTAATCTAGTCTCAAAAACAATGCAACGAGCTTTTTATTTATATTTTATTTTTATTTTTCCAGTTGTAAAGAAGACAGTAATAAAATAAAGGGATTACCGAATGAGAAATTTGAAAGATGTTTATGAAAAAGCGCCCAAGGCAGACAGCAATATGTGACTCAAAGCTGAAAGTCATAGCAACAGAGAGGCAGCTTCTAACCACACTGACCATCTGGATGCGTATGATGGAGACGATAACTGCCATTCGTGTGAACGAAATAAGAGAAATCTCAAAAAAATCATTGCTTTTCGGATGCTATGACTATTTATTAATAATTTGAACATTTTACAGTTAGAGATCAGAAGAGATCGACAAGGTAATGAATAAAATTTATGAATTGCAAGCTAGTTTAATAATTGTGAATTCAATCCCTGTGCCAGGCAGCGCGTACTTGGATTCATTGAATTTTGACGGCTTATCAACCCCGTATGAGTCCTTTAAAGCCGAAATATATTCTGGATTGTAAGAATAATTCTTTTTTTTTTTAAGTGAATATTGTGAAAGAGAAATATAGAAAAATATATTTGATTTTAATATAACCAAAACAAATTTAAAAAAAAAAAATTAAAAGAATTAGAACATTTTTCGATTCTTAGAAGAAATTCGTCTTTTTGAGGGTGGGGGTGAGAATATTGCATTAACAATTTCTTTAAAATAACAATTATTCATCTAGATGCTATTACTACTATTTAACCCATAGCTGGGGGAGGGTATGAATTCATACCTCATGTATTTATAACATGTTTTAGGATACAACTACGACTTTTTTTAGAGATGCTTAGTTATTACTGGACCCGTTTACTCAGTGGAGACGGGTCTAGCAATAATCTGGACCAGGGACTGAACTCACAATCACTATGCTACTGAATTCACGAACCAATGCAAATCGATTAAACACTGAAAAAAAAAGAAAGAATATATAAATAAATAAAAATTACTTACCAAACGCCGCTTTGGTTTGATAAGAGGCCGATTGGAACCGTTCATTTTGTGATAGAGACCGCAGGCATTACACAGGTAATGGCCCGTCCCATCTCTCCGCCATAATGGTGTAGACGTCGCCCCACAGTTTACACATTCACGGCCTTCTGCAAAAGAAATACGTTGATTGGATTAGCTGAATAAGTTTAGTCGTTTGCAAGACGTATTCACTAGTATCTAATATAAATTCTTTTTAGTATATTTTTTAGTATTATAAAAATATACATTTATTATCGTATTTTAGAATATCCGTTTTCAAAATATTTTAAAATATTGTTAAAACTTTTAAAAATCTGAAACAGAATACGATTGCGCCTAGCATGAAACAGCCTGTCGCCTCTGAGTGTTGACTTCAAAGATTTTCCGATGGAAACATTCAAATGATTTTCTTCATATTTTTTTCTACTCTTATGGCTAATGCGTTTCTCAAATGTAGGCCGGTTGTTGTTAATTTTACTACTTAAGAAAATTGTCAGTCAGTTAAGTGCCAGATGTGATACACGCTTGGGCGATCATATCTCATTCGATTCATGACTGACTAGACAAAATATTTTTCCCGCAGCAGGTTTCCCTTACATTCCAAGACAGACTGGCTGCCAAACAAGGCTTTAGCACCCTGTCTGTTCATAGCTGGTGAGCTGAGATGGATTCATAGATTTCCTAAGGGTATTTGCACGTAAGTGGTTGTAATGAACCTGACTGGAATTTGAACTCGGTTCTCCGAATTCTTATTCCGAGTCGTTATTAATCCTAATTAAGAAAATAACTAAAAAAAAGAAACAGGGATAGCAAGTCAAATACGTATAAACGCTAAAACAACGTGCGAGTATATGTTATAAAGATGTTACATACGAACAAACAAGTACTCACGACAAAGATGCATTTTTTGTTTCGATGCAAATGCATCTACAAATAGTTAAGTAAATGCTCTGTTTATAATAAACAGTATTAACAACATTTACCGGCCTAAATGCCCGAGAAATTGTCATAGAAAATATGCGTCCTCCGGCAGGAATCGAACCTGCATCCTACACGGAACCGTCATATAGCTTCACGTGTTATACCTTTTAGCTACAGAGGAAGTGTCTGGTTAGTGAAGTCAAATATTCAAGTAAATGATCTGTTTATAATAAACATATTATAACATATATATTTTCTATGAATCTATGATCTAACGACAGTTTCTCCTACCCAGGTGGTTGCATGTTCGAATCCTACTGGAGAGAACATATTTTTCTTTAATAAGATAAACGGAGCGTCTACACAAATATGGTTATCCAGTAAAAGTAACGTTTAAGTAACATAATCTATCGGACTGATAAGTAAATATCCTGTACTTTAGAAATTGCAGTGTATACGCTGTTTACAGACGTGTGTGTGTGTGTTTACATGTCAGCGCTTACAATCAATACAGCTAAAATAAGTAAGATGGTCCGCTACAATACGTACTACGACCAGAAATAATTTTTTCAAAATTGTTTTTTTTAATGTTAATATAGATTTGAGCATACCAAATAAGGAAGATTTAAAAAAATTAAATTTTATAAAATTTAAATTAGTGTCCAGTTTTTTTTGTTTTTTTTTTTTTTGCTTTTTTTATGGAAATTAATTGTAAATTGATTCTCACGACATACGGAAGCCAAAATAAATATACTGATACAATGTAATTTCGTAAAATGGAAAAAAGATAATACATGTTTTTGAAATTCATAATCTGCAGTGCTTAAATCGATAATAATATACCCCATCAAAAAAAAAAAAAAAATTTCCAGATTATGAATTTCAACATTTTGTTTTTAATTTAAGACATCATGTGGTATGAGCACATTTTGTTTTGGCTTCCGTACGGGGATCAATTTACAAAGTACAATGGACTCTCCAACCCCGCCCTACGATAATTAAATTTTTTACAAAATTTTATTTTTTTCATTATTCGTGATCTGGTGTGGTTCATCTTATATTAATATGAAAAAAAAATATGTAAAATCTGGTTATGTTTTCTGTGATACAACTCCACAAAAATAAATAGACAGATAATAAAATAGTTCAAAAGATAAAGTAAATAAAAGAAAAAAAGATAAGTAAATAAAAGTACACTATTTTCAGATTGACAATATTTTTAAACCCCAAAATCGCAAAATGAAAAAAAAAAGTCAATTTTATATTTTTATATATCGCATTAGGTCTTCTTAAAAATGCATTATATTTGCATCCAAAATATTTTATTTTCATTTATTCATATATTCAAATATATATATATATATATATATATATATATATATATATATATAAAACTTTAAACACTATTTTAGTGGATTAACATACGTAGCGTCTACTTAAAAATGGATATCTATTAAAATATCGTTTACAAGTGATAAAATCTGTCGGATTAAAACATAAGGTTATATATATATATATATATATATATGACTGAATGGGTAAATATAGGTAGGTATACGAGCGAGCAATCGTATACAAATACATATAAATACTCTAGAGTATAAGAAAAAACAGTGCTCAGTGTTAGGTAACGAAGCTATATATATAAGAAATATACATAATATTTTACATTAATTACACAACTCTGAGTTTTATGTCGAAGCAATTTTCAAGTGTAGGAATTATTATATTATTAGTATTATATATATATGTAATATTTCCAGCACTTAATTGTTTCGGCATGAAACTCAGTTGTGATTATATACATATAAATATATATATAAATATATATATATATATATATATATATATATTTTAAGACATTTTTATGTTTACACATTCTTTTATAGATACAAATATTTAAGTAAATGCTCTTTTATAATAACTTAAATATCTGTATCTATAAAAAATAATGTAAACATAAAAATGTCTTAAAATAATTGTCGGACTTTCTCCATTTCATATATATATATATATATATATATATATATATATATATATATATATAAACAGTTTTCTGAAGATGTTAATCTCTATTTTTTATGTAGCAACCTAGTATTAATAACATTCGCCATAAAAACAATTTAACCCAAACATGCTTTCTTTTTCATCCCAGTTTTTTTCTTGTGATTTTTCCTGTTTGGGTTCTATACAGGAATCGGAGCAAACGAAACGACAGAGTTAAATAAAATGTTATTTGCAAGATGCGTGGCAGGGGTAAAAAAAAAAAAAAAAAGAAAGAGAGAGAGGGGAAAAAACCAATAAATTAATCAGGAATTATGTCGGTTATTATTCTTCATAAAAATCGATGGCATTTGGGGAGAGAGAGAAGCAAAAAATAAAGGTTGTCATAGCGACCGATCCTCAACTGAAATTGATATAAAGCTCATAGAGTATTGATCCCTTCAGTAGATTATTATCGGTAAAGAGAAAAATAGAACCAGAACGAAGGCGATGCGAGCAACCAATAGAAATGGCACAACAATGACCACTGTCCATTTTGAACAAGAATGCGTTAGCAAAATGTTTAAAAAAAAAAAAAAAATGAAGACAGTTATATATGAAATTTCATTTAGAAAAAATAACTGATTAAATACTATTAAATGTTATCTTTAATATTTATATTATCTAATACAGTGTAACCCGGATATAAGAGACCCGGATATAAGAGAAACCCGGATATAAGAGAGATTTTATCTGGTCCCAAATTAGAGCCTGTGTTAATGTATACATATAGACCAAACCCGGATATAAGATAAACCCGGATATAAGAGACTTCTTCCCCGACAACTCTCTTATATCCGTTACTTTATATCCGGACCAAACCCGGATATATAAAAACCCATATCCGGGTTACACTGTAATAAATAGATATACCCGGATATAAGAGACTTCTTCTCGGTCCCGACAACTCTCTTATATCCGGGTTACAATGTATATAAAATAGACCAAACCCGGATATAAGAGACTTCTTCTCGGTCCCGACAACTCTCTTATATCCGGGTTACACTGTATATAAATAGATTAAACCCGGATATAAGAGACTTCTTCTCCGGTCCCGACAACTCTCTTATATCCGGGTTACACTGTATATAAAATAGACCAAACCCGGATATAAGAGACTTCTTCTCCGGTCCCGACAACTCTCTTATATCCGGGTTACACTGTATATAAAATAGACCAAACCCGGATATAAGAGACTTCTCCGGTCCCGACAACTCTCTTATATCCGGGTTACACTCCGGGAATAGACCAAACCTGATATAAGAGACTTCTCCGGTCCCGACAACTCTCTTATATCCGGGTTACACTGTATATAAAATAGACCAAACCCGGATATAAGAGACTTCTTCTCCGGTCCCGACAACTCTCTTATATCCGGTTTACACTGTATATAAAATAGACCAAACCCGGATATAAGAGACTTCTTCTCCGGTCCCGACAACTCTCTTATATCCGGGTTACACTGTATATAAAATAGACCAAACCCGGATATAAGAGACTTCTTCTCCGGTCCCGACAACTCCCTTATATCCGGGTTACGCTGTCTTAGCTTTAATATTTATATTTTCTCTAATATTTCCGGTCTATAAAAACTGGGAATATGATCCTCTTTTCTTTTTTCTTTCTTTTTTGTGGTTGTTGTACTACCGTAGTGAAGTAATGGATAGCCGCTCGGATTAAGGAATCGGAGAGCCGAGTTCGAATTCCAATCAGAGCCATTACATACACTTACGTGCTAATACCTATGGGTAAATAAATAGCAGGACAGACCGGGTTCTATAGCCTTGGATTGCAGCTGGTCTACCGCAGAAAAGTGGTGGGACAATTTACAATGAGTTTACATATCAAATTGGACACACCTCACCTGCATCAGAAAAATTTATTAGATTTTTTTTTTTTAATCATATTCATGATTTATCTATTTCATCTATTCTATTAGTATATATTTAATCTATGATTAATAAAAGATTACATTTAAAAAATTATTTCAAGTCACAGTGTCTATTCTAAATCACAACCATAATTTTTTATACTAACTACCGTGACTGATTGACAAAAATAAGGTAAAAAAATTCAATTTAACGCATTTCAAACATTTTTACCATCTCGTAGCAAATAGAAAATTAAGGGGTAAACAATTCAAATTTCGAAATTTAAAACATTTTCTTAAGTGTAAAAATGTAAACTGTAAACGATTTTATTTATTTGTTTGAGATTTTTTCCCCAGTTTTAAAAGACAAATTAAATCGCTTCCAGGTAAAATTTTAATCCCTTAAAAAAAAAAAAAACTTTCTATGATTGTGGTTCTGTTCAAAGAAAACAGATGACACGTTCTAATTTTTTTCTTCTTGGAAAATGAGCGCGCTTGTAAAATAATCCTCCTCTGCGCACGCGCGCACAGGCGATAAATGTTAGAGGAGACGACATGTTGGACACTTGTATACATATGGTCATATTCTTTCAAATCAAGACATCGGCTCGATTCAGGGTTTCTAAAAATGACAGTAATTTTTCAAACGTAGCCAGAGATAAAAAAAAGATTTTACTTATAAAATAAAAGATGTTTGGAATGTATTTACTATTCACATTAACCTTCGAATATCTGATCTTAGGTATATAGATATTATACACCGATTATTATTGTATGATATTATTGTATTTAATTTAATGGAATTTTCCGTCCCTCAATCTTTAAACCAATTTGCACCTTTTCACACTTTAAATGATTTTCTGGTCACCTTTTATTAACACTTTTTATTTGCATATATACCCCACTTTGTATTAAACAGGTAAGAGTACCTATTTTACTGCATTGTGTGTCCGCCGAACTAAAAACATTATATATATATATATATATATATATATATATATATATATATATATATATATATATATATATGAACATTGAAGCCAACACCCAGAGGCGACGGCCTGTTTCAAGGTCTGATGATTGTGTTAAGTATGAGTTTCCGTTTTGTTTGCATCCTCTACAAATCCTCATCGTTGCTCACATGTTCGGTCTAACAGATAACAACTCTGGTCTGAATTCAGAGATTTTTTCCCTTCTCCTAAAATGGTTGCCACCCTAGAACCTAGTCTGTCCTGCTATTTACCCATAGCTGGGGCGTGAAGAGATGGATTCATACCTTTCCCAGGGGTACTAGCACGTAAGTGAAAGTAATGAACTAGACTGGAATTCGAACTCGACTCTCCGATTTCTCATTACTCGACTTCTTAGTACCCACCCCCATCTAAAAAAAAAAAAAAAAAAAAAAAAAAGGAGCATATATAAATCTGATGCATGGTAAGATTTGGGGAAGAGAGTCGGGCCAAGATCTTTTCACTGCCTCCGTGTATAAAAGAGGAAATCTTATATGTGAAACTCTCTGACTAAATCTCCGCACGATAATCGTTGATTAAAATTTAAGAGCTCATATTAATTCTATTTTTGTAAAATAACATGACAGAAATTAACAGTTTGAGAATAACACAGAAAAATAAGCGGGTTATGTTTTTAAGGGGGAAGCTTAACGCTATTAAGAATCACTTCATTTAACGGTATAGAGTACGCATGCGCAATAATATGTTCCCCACGCTTTCAATAATTATTTATGGCAATAAAGGCGTCATCAATACATGTCTTAAGTAAAGTCTTCTCGTGGGGAGAGGTTATAATTATTCTCTTAATTATTTTGCCGAAAAATAAAAAGCATTGATAGCTTCTACCTGCACTTCTGGGTTAAGGATTTATTATTATTGATATTATTTAGTCAGACTCTTGACGTTATCTATGTTGTTGTTGTTGTTAGCCCGCCTTCTTTAAGCGCCTGTCATGAACAGCAGAAGAAGAATAATCTACCCCGTAAATTAAATAAAGGGTTCATTTCGAATTTCTTTTAAGGTTACCTGGATTAACAGACAACTGACGAATGCCGACAAACAACAACTGAAACGTTATGTGAATAACAAAAGATGGGAATATTGGTCGATTGTAAAAGATTTAAATATGCAATAGGGTGAGAGAATTAGAAATTATAAAGGTTTAGGATTAATTCATTAAATTTTTTTATTATTATTATTATTATTATTCCTTCTTAAACCAACAATTTTGAAACCGGTTAAGCCGAGTAAATTACTACATCAAGCCGCGAAGATCAATTTAAAATACCATTTAATCATGAATAAAATAAAACTCTATATTTCTAAGATGAGGTATTGTAATTATTTACATTGTTTGGACTGTTGTCCTCATCTTTGTTGCTATATTCACGACTATTCGGCCATTGTACACCCCGGCCTTCTTCAGAGTCTGTCTATATTTCTGAGATGAGGTCTTGTAATTATTTACACTATTTACATTGTTCGGACTGTTACCCTCATCTTTATTGCCACATTCACGACGTTTCAGCCGTTGTACGCTCCGCTGTTCTTCAGCTGATTGGGAGTACCAAAAAATTCATACACTGATGTCCTCAAAATTTTCTTTTCATCCACATGGCCCAGTGGATAAAACCGTTGGTTAGATCCAGTACTTTGACCCAAAGAGTTGTGAGTTCAATACCTGACTACAGCAGCGGTAAACAAAAAACTTGGAGAGTTGACTTAAATGGAGATAATTGAGACATCCGGAAGAGGCATGGTACGCGGAACTAGAACAATCTACCCCGATGGACAAAATAAAGGGTTCAGTTAGAAATTCCAATCACCTGAAGAAGGCCGGCGTGTACAACGGCCGAAACATCGTGACTATGGCAATAAAGATGACGACAACAGTCCGAACAATGGAAATAAATAAAAAGTAAACTTTTGCAAATGTTCCGGCGTCGGTAATTTTTAAACGATTAGTGTACATACAATGATCTTCCGCCATTTTTTATGTCTGAATTATCATTATTTACAAGAGGATTCTTTTCCTTATTTTTGTTGTTATTATCAAAACGTTTCGGTCGTTGTACCCTCCGGTCTTCTTCCGGTGTCTATCAATCTGTATTACAATATATAATATAGGAAATTTCGAAGTGAACCCTTTATTTAATCTATGGGGATAAACTGTTCTCGTTTCTCTGAGCACGTCTAGGGATAAAGATATTTTTCTCTTAATTCTCCCCTAAACAGCGCAACAAGAACAGTCAATCCCCGTAGATTATATAAACGAATATCAAAATTCCCTGAAGAAAGCCGAAGAGCCCAGTGGCCGAAACGTTGTTATAATAGCAAAGAAGAGGACAATTGTCCGTATTTAAGCAATGTAAATAACCTTCAACCATATCGTTTAGCTGACTAAAGCCACAATTTTAAATTTGGCTAAAAGCGTTAAATTTCAGTCAAGGAATAAACTTTAAAAATTATTAACAGAAACTAAAAAATATGGTGTATTTTATCAATATAAATTATACTCTAATATTTTCAAAAGCAAAGCGCGGAGAAACTAAACATTTCTAAAAATAATATATATAAATATATATATATATATATATATATATATATATATATATATATATATACGTATGTATGTATGTAGAGAAGAAATAAGTAAATATATATTTACAAATTAACGGAGATAATAGTGGAAACCCTATTTATACTAACCGGCGTCATGTCGTATTTCTCCATAATATTTGCTCGAATTCTCTTGAAGAGAAATGTCCTGCCAACAGCCATCTGAATCGAGAAATATTAAAAAATTAGGCTACTAGATGGCTTCAACGACGCTCTTTCAAAATAAACTTCAAAAATACCATACATTATTAGCCATACTTTTCTAGAACATTACTCCCTCCCAATTTTACCACGTCTAGAATATTAATGTCTAGCAGTCAAAAGAAGATTTTTTTTTTTATAGTAGTCTATTAGTAGTCATGTTAAATCCGTTGGCATCATTCTTGAAACTAAAAAGAATTTAATGCTAAAGATTAATTTTTCTGATAACATTTTCTTTCAGCGATAATTTTTTTTTTTTTTTTTTGGTGGATTGTCTCATTCTTTAAGGAACGCTACAGTGTTTTGCCCGGGCGCAGTTGTGTGGTAACTTCTACCTGCCGCAAGAGGTCTGTAAAAATTACCTGACTCCTCTCCTTCGTAGTAGCCTGAAGAAATAATGAATTCTTCAGGAGGAAGAATTTCGGTTTCTTTTCTTTTTTTTAATACATACACGGACGGAACCTTTGTCAGAATTAAAAGAAAGGTAATTAAAAAAAAAAAAAAAAAAGAAAGAAAAATAAGAAAAGAAAAAAGAAAAAAAAAAAAGCTTTGAAAATGTCAACTTGATTTTGGAACTTTTGCCAAGAACCAACATTTTTGCAGAGAAATAAACTTTCTCGCCACACACCAAAACCGGGCTATCATAATATTGTAGAAAAAAGTTATCAGTTATATGAAAAGAAAAACATTTTTAAAAGGTGAGGGGTATTAAATAAATAGCAATATGAAATATGCAATTAACGTAATTGATGGCATAAAGTAATTAAATTATATATACTCAAGTTCAAAGGTTTGAAACCACACCCAAAATTAGCTTGGAATTAACTTAACAGAAAAATTTTAAAAAAAGAAACGAAAAAAATGAAATTAGAATCATTGAAAAAAGAATGGAATCAATTATCAAGCTTATATTTTCAGAAACTTTTGCAAGGAATACCAAAAAATTGTGCTGCAGTAATCAAGTGTTAAGAGAGGGTATTTTGACGAGAGCAAAATTTTATCATAAAATGCTTCTTTTTTTTTTTCTTTGTCATAATTAAATTTCAAATAAAAAACGTTTCACTTTTTTCTAATCAGGTATAATAATAAATTTCTCATATTTAAAGTACAAAACAACTACTTTTTGAAACTATTTAAAAAAAATTACCAGGGTTGGCCGCAAAATTTTGAACTGTAGTGATTTTCCAAGCGTAGCTCAGATGTGGCACAAGGCCGAAAGTATGGGGTACCCAGTGAGGATCGAACTCACTACTCAGTCGTAATAATTCTAGCGAGACAAGCTTGCTTACCATTATACCACCTCGCGTTGCCCAAGTGATTTTCCAAGCGTAGCTTAAACGTGGCACAAGGCCGAAAGTAGAGAGGCACCCAGTGAGGATCGAACTCACTATTCAGTCGTAATTGTTCTAACGAGACAAGCTTGCTAACCATTACACCGCCTCCAGGAGCCAAAAATTTTGAACTGTATATGACATAGCGATATATAGGACACTATTGAGGAAATTGTAATACAAAGCGGAAAAAATTATTTGTGACTCATGAAACATCCGATGAAGTCCTAACTGACGACAGGTGTCTTAAATAAAGTTTTACATTTTTTCTCATATTTTACATTGCGACAAGGAAATTTCTATGTTTCGGGACTTAAAATTGATTTATCCCGTTATCATTTATGTTCGGTAACTTTTGATGCAAATGATTTATTTTTGAAAACAGAAAACAACACGTTTGCTTATTAAAGAGTTAAGTAGGAGGGGGGCAGATTTTAAAATCTGATAGGTATGTCTCTTTTGACTAATTACAAGACCGGTCAAAGTTAACGTAGAAATGTTTAAAATATAGGTTACATGTGGGGGTATTCATACATGTCTAGGGGAACTGTCATATTAAGACACGACATTATACTTCCGTTTAAGAATATACATTTAAGTTTGTTTGTTTTTTAAAAAAAAAGCTCTCTCTCTCTCTCTCTCTATATATATATATATATATATATATATATATATATATATAATATATGAAGAAATATACTCTTAAGGTGTGCTATATTTATGGGATAAAGTGTTCAGTATCAGAGATAGAGCGTGTGTAAATATAAAAGTGAACATTGAAGTCAATACTTAGAGGCGACAGGCTGTTTCATGCTAGACGCTAGCTACAGGCCTGACGATTGCGTCTAGCATGAAACAGCCTGTCGCCTCTAAGTGCTGTCTAAGTGTTCAATGTTCACTTTATATATATATATATATATATATATATATATATATATATATATATATATAAAAATGCTGTATATTGAATATTTAACAAGGAAACTATTTCTGTTTGAATTTTTGGACGTGAGGATTTATCATTATTTACAAACTGGGTATTATCGTCCACTTCTTGGTTGTTGTCATGACAACGTTGCGGACGTTGTACTCCTTGGCTCCCATTTTCGAACTGAACCCTTTATACAATCTACGGTAGGAGACCATTCACACTCCACTCCTTCTAGGGATATCTCGTGTAATTCTTATTTTTAGCACTGCTCAGTTATTGCTTGTGCTGTTTACGCAGAATACAAGTACACACTGCCAGGCCCAGGGATTGAACTCACAGTTACTTTCGACCAGAGTGAGTTGTCCGAGCTGCCGCAACTTCGTAATCACAATTAGACTCATCCAGCTCTTTCCGAGCTGGACTCTTCTGACACCCAAATACTCTGAAATGTTCGTTTTGGAGCTTCCGGCGCGAATGCCAAGCAGTACAGGATGCCGTTTCTAAATTTCTGGCCGAGTGAATTTCGTCATTGTACTCTTTTCCTTAGAGACGGTGCCCAACTGACCCTACTATACAGTGCAGTCGACAGAATCACAAACAAAGAACGCGCATGCGCGAAATTAAAAATATAAAATGACGATAATTTACCCATCGCACTCTGTATGTAACGTTACACAGAAGTTGCAAAAACCTTTCTTTGCAGAATATACAACTTTGCCGCAACGTTAAGTTGTAACACTGTAAATACGTTACCTTGCAGCATTACATTAACAGAAAATGTATAATAAATTCGATGAAGATCTGAGAACGTGCGTTTATAATCTTAATTAGTGATCATCAATTTAAAAATACAAAAAGAAATTTGTATACCTTCTATGCATATTAGTAAGTGAAGAAAAGGTAATTTGATTTTATAATTGACCAGTACGGATTTGTTTTTCAGCGACTGCACTCCGTAACGTTACTATACAGTTGAGGGTGGGTGGTCTCTGTTGGGGTCAGGAAAACAGTTGATTCCAACATTACAGTAGCGACGCCATAACGTCACATATCCTGCCAACCAAAACACAACGTATCTGCAACGTTGAAAGAACGTTCTGTGTTAGCTGTCAAATGTTCATGATGGAAGCGAATAAAGACAACGTAATGGAAAGATTAATAATTTTTACCTGACATAATGATATCTATTAAATAATCATATGTTTATATTATTAAAGAGACCATCCTTTTTAATCATTTCACACCAAGGAAGGCGACAAAACCACTAAGACACAGGCAGCGAGATATCGAATTACCGCCTCCTGACGATAATCATTAGGCGACGCGAGATTTGAAAGCTTCTTCCTCTTTCCTTTTTGACTTTGACAGCGACAAGATGTTCACATCTCGTTCTGTCGACATGCAATTACCCTAGAGAGACATACTGAAGTTTGCTTTGAACTCTTCGCAACTTTAACTTCATTTCTCATTTATCTTTTTGTAACATGTCTGTTTAATATATTTTTTAATACTTGTTTAAATTCCATTTTTATTTTGTATTCTTAGTTTTTCCCGGACTCACATGAGTCCGCTAATATTATTCATGAGACAAATGCAACAGGAATCATTAAATATTTACTGAAAAAACTTCGCAAAACCTCATAACGTTGCAAATACATTTTCTTGTAACGTTACATTAACAGAAAATGAACAATTAATTCTAGGTAGGTATGAGCATTCACCATTTAAATTAGTGATTCACTTTTCTTTTAATATAAAAAGAAATTTTATACCTTCAGTATATATCAAGTGAAGAAAAAGTAATTTAATGTTATAATTGACAAGTGCGGAATTTTTTCAGCTACAGCATTTCACAACGTTACTAAAAAATGTGGGTGAGTGGTCTGTTTTTGGGATTAGCAAAACAGTTGATTAAAACGTTACAGTAGCGACGCCATAACGTCACATATCCTTCCAACCAAAACGCAACGTATCTGCAACATTGTAAAGATGTTCCGTGTTAGCTAAGATATTTGCGGGATATATTCTTTTTTTTAAATATAAAAGTTGTTGATTATAGCTGCTGATTATATATACGGTAATATCAAAGAAATAACCACGACTTTCATAAGATTCGATAAGTGTAAGAATGTGGGTCAGGGAAAAGCTTTTACTTTTATTTTTTTTAAATTTTTACTTAAAACAGTCTTCTTGTGCTGTGTCAGTGAATACATCCCGTTTCATATTGCATCAAACACTTTGGAAAGTATAAAAAAAGGAAAGCATTAAGATCCTGATATTCATCATCAGAGTTACCCCGTAGAATAAACCAAAGGATTCGGTTCTAAATTCCAACGAATATCACCTGAAGAAATCCGGGACGTACAACGGCCGAAACGTCGTGAATATAGCAATCAAGATGAGGGAAACAGTCTGAACAATGTAAATACTGTAAATAATTACAATGCCTCATCTCAGAAATATAGACAGATCCAGAAGAAAGCCGGAGCGTACAACGGCCGAAACGTCGGGAATATGGCAATAAACATGAGGAAAACAGTTCGAACAATGTAAATAGTGTAAATAATTACAATACCTCATCTCAGAAATACAGACAGTTTCTGAAAATGTCGGAGCGTACAACGGCTGAAACGTCGGGAATATGGCAATAAACATGAGGAAAACAGTTCGAACAATGTAAATAGTGTAAATAATTACAATACCTCATCTCAGAAATACAGACAGTTTCTGAAAATGTCGGAGCGTACAACGGCCGAAACGTCGGGAATATGGCAATAAACATGAGGAAAACAGTTCGAACAATGTAAATAGTGTAAATAATTACAATACCTCATCTCAGAAATACAGACAGTTTCTGAAAATGTCGGAGCATACAATGGTCGAAACGTCGTGAATATGGTACTAAAGATGAGAAAAAAAGTTCGAACAATGTAGAATAGTGTAAACAATCATAACTGTTTTTACTTTCATCATTGTCATCATCCTTCGACCTCCTTATGGTTGATCGGAACTCTATTTGCAATCCCTTTCCACACTGTTCGATCCCGCATTGCCGTCCCCAGATCGCCAATGTCCAGCCCTGAGTCCCGAGCTATGGTGTCTGGGAAAGTCAACTTTCGAGAGAAGACATCTCCAGATGGATGCCATAGAAGTACGAATGAGATGAGCTCCCCGTCTGCTCGGTGGCAGTGGCCGGCAAACTGCAATCGCTTTTGTTTGAGTTTAATCCTTTGAGCCCCGATTACCGCTTTACTGGTGTTAGAGAAAAATGATGTAATGCCCAGTCACCAGTTGAACAGGAGTAGAGAAAAATGACTTAATGTCCAGCTATATATATATCATATTGCTTCACATCTCATCATCGTCATCATTCTTCAACCTCCTTACGGATGGTCGGAACTCCATTGACAATCCCTTTCCACACTGTTCGGTCCTGTATTGCTGTCCTCAGATACCCCAATGTCCCGAGCTATGGTGTCTGGGAAAGTCAATTTTCTTGAGAAGACACTTCCAGAAGGATGTCATAGGATTAAGGATGTGATGATTTCACTGTCCGCTTTGTGGCAGTGGCCGGCAAGACCATATCTCTTACTCTCTCTCTCTCTCTCTCTCTCTCTCTCTTCATTATCATCATCATCCTTCCACCTCCCTATGGTTGGTCGGAACTGCATTGATAATCTCTTTCCACACTGTTCGGTCCTGTATTGCTGTCCCCAGATACCCCAATGTCGAACCCTGAGTCCCCGGCTATGGTGTCTGGGAAAGTCAATTTTCGTGAGAAGACACCTCCAGAAGGATGCCATAGGAGTAAGAATGAGACGATTTCTTTGTCCGCTCTGTGACAATGGCTGACAAACTGTAATCGTTTTTGTTTGAGCTTAAGATAGATTGGTCTCATTTCTCCATAAATTGTGTTAAGCGTTGCATGGGATCTCCAACTGATGTTCTGGATTTTTTCTTAGTAGATTTCTATATGTTCCATCCAGTCGTCTTTCAAGAAGAACAGATAATATCCAAGTTTCTGATCCATGCAATCGGACTGGTTCAAGTAATGTTCGAAAGGTTTGGACTTTTAAAGAGTTTGGAAGGTTCAAGCGCCAAATCTTGTGAAGTTTGTTACACGCATTCCATGCAAGAGATGGTTCAAGCCTTCAATCTGGGAAGAGGGTAAAGGCTCAAAATAATAAAGTATTTATTTGATGATCCAGATTTTGAAGACATTTAAATTAATTTCGACATTTTCGAATTATCACTATTATTATTATCACTATTATTATTATTATATTTCCTTTGATTTCTGGTGAGTACTCATTTCTTTCCGGGTCCCAACCAGAGACCTAAGGTCAGAAATGGCATCATGACATTTTCCATAATATCCAAGTTTCTGATCCATACAGTAGGACTGGTTCAATCAATATTCGAAAGGATGAAAGGTTTGAGCGCCAAATCTTGTCAAATTTGTTACACGCATCCCATGCAAGACTTTAAGGCTCACTGCAAATCAGTGCAATACCTCATTTTCACTATGGCTGTTCGGTTCCAACCTTCTCCATCTGCTCCGACACAGTTGTGTTTTTTCAACACCCACAGAGCCACATGTAAATACGTGTTATAGCAACTGACGCGTTTAATTTGCTGATGGCTAGATATGAGCTGTATGTGTTATCGTTGAAATTAAAGAAAATGCTTTAACTTAGAGCAAAGAGCACATCTATAAAACAGGTATTAGAATTTGTAAGCAAGAATCTAAAATTATTATTATAGCCAGTATGTATTGGCCATGCTCTCTAAATCGAGAATGCCTGTTTGGCAATATTCTATGTAAATACGTGTCATAGTTATTGGCGCGTTTATTTTGCTGATGGCTAGAAGGGAGCTGTAACATCGGCGTCATCGCTTAAATCGCTCAACGAGATCCGCTGCAGAGAATTCCAAGAGTACTGTGATTGACATCAACACCTAAAGGGGTATTGTTGCTGGCAGGTTTGGGTTGGGGAAAAGTGCCGCTCACTCAGAAATATCATGGACTCTTGTTTCTTTGCAGTAAAGAGCAGAGGTGGAAAGGAGGAAGCGAAAGATATGCGAAACATGCTTAAGAGTAGACAATGTGGGGGTGGGGATAAAAAAGCAAAAAAAAAAAAAGCTTTATGTTGGAATCAGATTGAGTCATACGATGCCCTTCAGTCAATTACTACTTTCTATTGATACAGAGACACAAAAAATTCAAGATTCAAACTAAAAAAAAAAAAAAAAAAAAAAAAAAATAATAATAATAATAATAATGAGAAAATGATTTCGGATATCAAATTCTAATTCCGCTTTCTGATCTGCACTTTCTTTAATTTCTCTTTCTCTTTTTATTAACGGTTCCCATACCGTATTTATTTCCACGCTAGGCCTACGAAGGAGATCCTCTTAGCACACGCGCTGATTTTTCAGGTGTCTGACTCTCCAGTGTTCTTCTCTATCTAGTAGTTTTACTTGCATTCCACAGAGATTAGTGACTACAGTTTTCTTTCCATATATGATCAGCCATGACTGATTTCGTTGCCTCTCCTCTAATTACAGCAACAGTAGAAAAGAACAGCCACGGTGAATGCAGTCAAACCTCAGCAACAGCACCCATCAGCGGGCAGGCTTCAATTTCTCCAATAGCTTAGTGAATTAAAGCATTAGTTCGTGAATTTTGTGATGTAGTAATTGAGAGTTCAATCCCTGGGCTGGGCAGTGTGTACTTGAACTCAGTGGAAGTACTAAATAAGCACTCATCGTTTTACTGTTGAACTAGCTAGATGTAACCAGAAGTACAATTTTAGTATTTTCTTCCATCACATTTGAACTCGCTTTCGGCTCCTTCCCTGTCATCTACAATCTTCAAAAATTTAGATGTAACGTCAATCGCCATATAGTGTTTTCTTGGACCCTGTTCTTTTATTGCCCTTTCTCCACACTAAAGTCTTCTCATTCTCGCCTTGTAACCCCTGGCGTCTGAGTGACACTATCGCCTTGCTTGGGGTGAAATGGTTCAATAAAAGTAATTTTGCAATTATGTCATATTTCATCTATTAGTAATTTAGGATTTTTATCTCAGCAATTAACGCTTATTGTCACATGTACGAAAGGTTATTCTTTTTTAAGTCATTAAACTATCTAAGATAGCTAATATGATATGTAACGCCCCAAAATGACGGCTATATAGAAGTCATTTTGAAATTACATTGGTTTTATTTTCTGCATAAGTAACTTAGGATTTTTAGCAAGAATATTGACTCATGTAAAAAAAAGGGGGGGGTTCTGTTTTTTTTTTTCAATTATAAAATGTCAAAACCCTAACACGAAACAAAAACAAAAAAAAATTAGAAACATGTTCTCGTTATAAACAAAATAGATTCCATTATTATGATGACACGTGGCATGTTTATATAGTAATACATCCTGTTACCATAACAATTTAATATCTTACTATAACAATGGAATATCTAAGTAGAAGGGGAGATCAGGCTGCATAACCGGTAAATGTATATAGTGACATTGTTAATCTCTCGTGTACATAAATATATATATATATATATATATATATATATATATATATATATATATATATTATATATATATATATTTTGTTGAAATTGAAATAACACAATTCTCTTTGTCAATAAAATTCTCTTTGTCAATAAAACTAGTTTTAATTCTGAATCCATGACAATCTCTTTTTCTCGGATCTTAAAAGCATGACATACAAATTGGATCAAAACCTAAAGATTCTGTCTTTTAGTAAATTATTTTCCTCTGAAAAAAAAAACTGTAGCTTATTAGAGTTTTAACAAGAAAGCCCTTGACTAACGTTCAGAGTTTTACTTCTAGTAGACTGGCTGCTTAACAAGATTAGAGTACCCAATCTAGGTTGATATTTAACCCATAGCTAGGGTGCAGCTAGCAGAGAAGAATTCATGCCTTTCCCAAGGGCATTAGTGCGAAAATGAATGCAACAATCTAAGTTAGATTTTGAACGCAATTCTATGATTACATTTTCCACACATAGCCACGAAGAAACGGTTTCAATTACACTCAACGCTAAATTGTAACCGTGTTGTTTCATTTTTCCACTATTTCTAGCGTCATTGAGTAACGAGTGAATGAAAGAGCTAGGCTCTTATTCTCCTGGCGTCAGTCTGAACTGATGCCTTCTGTTTGCCAATATATCTAAACTATAATTGTTTTTTTTTTAAGTAACAATTTCACTGAAATATGTCGGGAAGTTTCCAAGTTTTAATCTCAAATCGCGAAAATAAGAAGATTGAGTAAAATAGTTAAGATATATGGAAAAAAATACAGTCGTCTGCTTAAACGAACAGCAGGAGGATATACCGTATATTTCAGCGTATAAGACGACCTTTAAATCCCAAAATTCTGTTATTCATGATGACGGTCGTCTTCGAGTATAGAATCCAGAGGTTAGCAGTGAATATTTCGAAGACAGTAGGAAAGCGTTGTTCAGGTTAGCAGTGGATATTTTGGTAAAAAGTAGCAGAGCATAGTTCGTCCTTCTGTTTCTCTTCGCCTGACAAGCTGGCACTGAACATTCGGGTAGAGTAAACAAAATGACCGCCTTTATACACGACGGATTGAATGTTCTACGTCTTCTGATTGGTTAACCTTCTATTAGTGGACTATAAAATGAGTCAAGTCATTTGAGCTAACTCACTAGTTACATATATATACACAAAAAACTGCAACAAATTCACCCTTTAAATGTGAGGCGTCGTCTTATAGGATAGTTCTAAAAAAGGAACCTTAAATTCTGTGTGATGTTTGTTGGTAGACTAACCCCGACTTTGGTGCGATGATAACCAATAACATTCACGAAAAGATTCACATTATCAAATAAACTGAGAATAAAAGTAATAAAACCATTTCTACCTTATATTTTACTGGCATAGCTTCATAATAAATTGCCTATTGCCTATTCAAGGAATAATTCCATATCAATGAAACCAACTTGTATCCAGGAAAGCTCAGCTGAGACATTGTAAACACCGAGTTATGGTTGCGTTCACAGCAATAGAATGTACTATTATCGTGCTGTTATTAGCGGTATTTTGTAATTGTCGATGAAGTATAAGTAAATGGCCATTAGTGCACCAGGGTGTTTGTAAAAGAAGAAGGATCGATATTCGCAAGAGATCACGTGATGAAATGTAAACAAATCAATGGTTTCCCTTTTAGGGGACATGTGTAGGAAAAACCTGATATAGAATCGGATTTCTTATTTTGTTTATTTGGAATTTCTAACGATACGGTAAGTAACAACATCCCCAATAACATCATCTTTATAGAATCAATAAACAGTCGTCTTATACGAAAAGTATAGGATAAATTTGCTATATTTTTTTTTACCTCGACTTACCTGAAGGTCGCCTTATACGTGGAAATATACGGTAATTAATAAAATAGTAGTTAATTAACAAGATGATTAGAAGTATTTATCGCTGCCTGCCAATTTTTAATCAAATAAAAATTACGAAAAAAACGTTAAAACTCTTAATGCGGAGTAATCGTGTTTTTGAATTAAGGTGTTGGGAGGTGATAGCTAAAGATAATTTGTGTTTCAAGTAATCAACAAATATTTTGTTTTCTCTGCTGACAAAGAAATGTTTATTGTAAACTCGAACTGGTCCGTTTTCTCAAATCTTTTTAAATAACGCGAAAAGGGTGTAATAAAAAAATAAAAAAACCTCTTCGAAGTTCGAAACATCTGCTACTGTGAAACAAAAAACGTTCTTTCTATTATTGTGCCTAAGTGGAAAGTTAAGTACCTTTCATGACCCATCTTAGCTACTTAAGTTTCATGTTGCTTGTACCCTTTTTATCCCAAAACTGTGGCACTTTCAGAAAATTGTTTTAATATAGCTAGGATATATATATATATATATATATATATATATATATATATATATATATATATATATATATATATAAATAAAAAAAAGAAAGAACAGTAAGATATAAAATCCGGTGTTCTTATAGATATTTTTATTTTTACAAAATAGTGCTCAATGTAAATTTACAGAGCATTAATATTATAAATTAATTGATTTAAAATATGGTTTTTTTTTTACACATCTTTGAAACATGGTTGGAACTGTGTAGCGAAAAAAACCATATTTTAAATCAATTAATTTATAATATATATATATATATATATATATATATATATATATATATATTTCATTAAATAATATAGACAAGTGTTGTCTATTTATTTTATATAAATTCTTTGTATAACGTCTGATGATCTTAATAACATTATCATTAAACGAAGAAAGAAAATCACAATATTGATATATATTTTTAATCCAATCTAAGCTTTCGGCTTACATAAGCCATTATCAAAGATGACAATTACAGTACTATATATTATGCAATACACGGACAAGAATGCGATGATCGTCTGTTTCTGTTTACATGGATGATATATATATATATATATATATATATATATATATAGAGAGAGAGAGAGAGAGAGAGAGAGAGAGAGAGAGAGATTTTTATGTTAAGATTACAATTACAATGTATTTACTCTTCAACGGACATCATTCCGCCCTTTTACCTTTTAAAACGTCTGTATGATTAATTCTATTAAATAATTAGAATAAAGTAATTTTTGCTGTCGTAAAAATCACTAGAGAAACGTGAGAAATTATTTTCAAAAATGGCATTAAAAAAATACAACAATAACAACAAAAATATAGACATTGAAGTCTTGAGGGCGCAATACAATGATTACCAAATCTTTGAAGTGGCTGCAATTTCGTCCAGGAAATATAATTCCTTATATCAAACTTGGTTAAATACAGGTTACGGGAATATCAGTTGTTCAACTGCGAATGACGTAAATTTACGTCATACACATTCATACACACACACACACAAAGAAAATCACAAAAATAATTTCACATGAATGCTGAAATTGTCCTTTCATTTCCATAACTGATCTAATTTAGGTTCTAATTATTACAAAACACCATGTATCAGACTTAGTGCAATGGAGAGGTGCTTTCTCCATTATATATTTCCGATCAACTAGCCT